ACTCTAGTTGATTTGACTTTTAACCATTCATCTGTCATCAGGACATTTCTAAAGGAAATTGATTGAAGGAGGCTAGATAATTTTCCAACTCCCACTTGTTCTATTTAAAAAACAAAATCATGTATCACTTTTACACATTTTACTGTTTGAGATCATAACAAGACAAGATGTTTAAGTTAAAGTCTATTGGCTAATGACTTGTCTGTTGTTGTCGACTGAATGTTGTATTTGATTTAGACACAAACTGGGTCAGAAGAAACAAACCGTCTTTGGTTGCCAGATATTAAACTGGCACCCTCCTTGGTGGGAGCCTTGAAGCGAGGAGACCGCTAGCATCAGCGTATTCAGCAGAGGGTGACAGCAGAGGTGGTGTCATTTAAAAATACTTGCATATGTCGCATTAGTTGTTTTGAAGACATTGTAAAATCTATAACATCTTTTGTATCATCGCACAAACTAACAAGAACTGCCTTCAGGATGTCAGGTGCATTTCCAGCTGGCACACTTCATGCTTTTGTTTTTTTCTGCCTGCAAAGTGTGTACCGTAAGAACTGTGGCTGCTTTTGTGAAGTGCTTTCAGTGCAGAGTAGGTAGAAATAGAAATGTGACCGTTTCACCAAATGCATATTTGTCACAGCGGTTGTCAAAAGAATTATGCTGGAGAGAAAGGGGAACGCTGGGAATGCTGTATTGCCTCCCCCCTGCATCCCCTTCCCACCTCCACACACACACACATGTATATTAAAAAAAAAAATAGACTTATTTTAGAGCCATATGTAGAAGGTTTCAGCCATTTGGGAGATCTTTTTTGTTCAAATTTACGGCCAATAACAATGCATGTTGAAGTATGTATGTAATCTTTATTAATATAGCACATATTTACAAACCAAGGTCACCCAAATCGCTTTACAATGTTCAGAGTTCAGATATTGTTTCGTTCTCTCCAAACACGGTGAGGACAGAAGCGAGACGCCGAATACACTGGCATATCAAAACCCCAACCAACCTATTGCGCATGTTTTTAGTGGTAGGGAAACCGGAGCCCACGGAGGAAACCTACTCTGACACGGGGAGAACATGCAGACTCTACACATTTTCAAAAGAGCGATGTCTGTAAAAAAATTCTTTGTGATTATATATAAATACATTTTGGTACTACATTTCTTCCCATTTAGAATCTCCTATAGAGCTGCTTCGACCACGTCCTCTATTCCGTGGACAATGGAAAAGCAGGGCAGGTCTTTTTTCAAGGATGCCTTTTGTGGACTGCAGCCCCTCTCTCCACCTCCTCCTCTTTTCTCTCCTCTCCTGAATTCCTCCGTTCTGGTTTTGACAGGCACTCGTCACCAGCAGGTACCGAAGCCCTGGAGGGTCAGATTTCCCACTCACACATACCCAATCTGCTACATGTGCATTTTCACAGGGCTCTGGAGTCGGCTGCTGCTCTGTCACATAAGCATTAAGACAGATGTTGCCAGCGCAGGTCACACTCACTGTCCGCTGTGGTTTGACCTTGACTCTGCAGTTGACTAATGACTTACTGAAAGTCGCTCAGTATAATGAGGTTTAGCTGTGCAATTAATTTTATTTGAATAGAGATTGAGACTCATTTCTAATCGTTAATGATCAGCATAGGGCATTTTAAAGTGAATAGTTTGTGAAAAATGGACTTGATAATTGTTTTTCCTTCTCATTTATCAACTCAAAGCGGTATATAGAGTGATATATGAATGCTTAAGTAATGGCTTCTTAAATGCAATCTCTCTCTTGCACTTAAGATGCCATTGTCCCAATTACCATAATACACGTACCACATGACCACTGTTATTTTCTTTGTACATTTTTTCTTCTTAACATGTTTAACAGTGCTGTTAATGCATCATGGCACACTTACAAAAACACACAAAAAATGCATCAAAAAGATTTTTGTGTTTTTGATTACATTATGTACAGTATATAATGTTAAAACATAAAATGTCCAACAGTCATAGAATTGTTTTAATTGACAAATACAATACAATACAATTTACAATACAATTTATTCTTGTATAGCCCTAGGTCACAACAGAAGTCATCTCAGAGGACTTAACAAAACCATTGAAATCACCAACACAGGTCAGAGAATCAACAGTTAAAACACATGAAGAATATAAAGCACACACAGAAGAAAATGTCCATACATGTTGTAGAATGCTAAAGTGTCCTGATCATCACCAATCCTTTCTGTTGGACACTAACTGTCCAACAAGACCCTCCTGCATCGACAAGGAAAAACTCTTAAAAAACCCAGTGGGAAAAAGTGAGAAACCTTGGGGAGCACTAGGGAAACCCACAGGGAGGGAGACCCATATGAGAAAGGGATCCGCTCCTCCGGACGGACAGGCTAATGATCTAGGACCTAAGCTAGCTACAGAACGTGGACCAGTGGCCGCTGAACGTGGACAGGTCCGGTGCAGGACCGAAGCACTCCCAGGCGGGTTGGGCGGGGCAGTCCGCAGGTGCAGATGGAGGAGGCCAGGCTCAGAGATCCCGTCATCGTACCATGAAACAGACAATGGGACAACGGGTGAATAGCAATGAACAAACTACAGTCAGAATCCTAAAAGTGCTAAACAGATAAAGTAGGAAGGAGGAGAGGATAGTGCTCAAGTTACCATACTTCTCCCAGCAAACTGACTCCCTATGCAGCTTGACTAACACTCTGAGGAGTTTAACCTTCTCCGAGTCTTACCTTCCTAGCCATATGCTAAACTAAAGAGGACTGTTTTAAACCTAGCCTTGAATAAAGAGATTCATGGATTGCACACCAGGTGTGCAAACCGATCCAAGCAAACCATATATATCATAAATAATACACAACATAACATACAGCATAATATATAACATAATATACAACATAACACAATACATTATTGTATAATATATAACTTAATATATAACATAATACAGCATACATATATAATATATACACCATATATTATATATTACCTAATTATATGCTAAATTAAAGTAAAGTGCTTTAAGCCTGGCCTTGAATGTGGAGACCGTATCTGCTTCCTTAACATAAATGGGAAGCTGATTCCACAGTAAAGGAGCTTGGTAGCTAAATGCTCTGCCACCAACAGTGACCTTTGAGACCTTAGGGACCACCAGACGTCTGGCGTTTTGTGAGCGCAACGCTCGACTTGGTTGATACGACACTAACGTGTCTTGGAGATAAGAAGGAGCCAAGCCATTTATGGCTTTATATGTTAAGAGAAGGATTTTAAACTTTATTCTGTACTCCACTGGCTCCCTGTGGAGTACAGAATAAAGTTTAAAATCCTTCTCTTAAGCCAGTGGAGTGATTTTAACACCGGAGTTATGTGCTCCCTCCTTTTGGTACCTGTTAAGATCCTAGCTGCTGTATTCTGAACGAGCTGGAAGCTCTTCAAAGACGCTTTAGGGCACGCTGCCAATAAAGCGTTACAGTAGTCGAGCCTTGAGGTGACAAACGCGTGAATGAGTTTTTCCGCATCACTTTTAGGAAGGAAATTCCTAATTTTAGCGATGTTCCGTAGGTGGAAGTACGCCGTTTTAGTTGCTTGGCTTATATAAGCCTTGAAGGAGAGCTCTTGGTCAAAAATGACTCCAAGATTCCTCACAGTGTCACTGGGTACAATACTGACACCATCGAGAGTAATTATCTGGTTAGCGAGGGAGTCACGCAGGCGCTTCGGACCGAGTAGGATCACTTCTGTCTTCTCCGGGTTGAGAAGTAGGAAGTTAAGAGTCATCCACATTTTAAGGTCCTTTATGCAGGCACTGAGCTTTTCCAGCTGATCTGTCTGATTTGGCTTCATCGACAGATAAAGCTGTGTGTCATCTGCATAGCAGTGGAAATTAATTCCATGCTTTTTAATAATGTTTCCTAATGGCAGCAATATACAAATAGTGTTTTATTAGTTATTGTATGCAAAAGTCTCAGATAAGAGGTCTATTGAAATTAGACGAGGGATGACAATTTGCCAAAATGTCTGAGTCTGCCGCATTTTCATGTTGGAAAAACGCAAAATAATGAATAATGTGCCCGATTTTTGATCTGTCTCAATTTTCTTATTTTTTTTAAAGAAGTAAACCTAAACGTGAATTATGTTTTTGATATTTAAAGGACAACTCACCCTCAAATCCACTTTTTTTTTGCTGATAAACGATTTAAATGAGTGTCCAATAGTGTTGTCTACATATCCTGGTCATAGTTTTTTCACTTTGGTGCAAATTAGTTGAAAGTTAAACTTTCTGCCTAAAACCGTCTGTGAGGCGCCATCTGCTGGCGACCTGTATTACTACATTTGAATTTTGAATCTGGCGCCAACACTGGCACAGAAGTTGGACCTGACGTCTGCAAGTTGGACCTGACGTCTGCAGCCCCCCGCCCAGAGCAATGTAAACGGCCCAGTCTCGTTCACGCCCCCTTCAGTCCTCCAGGCTACGCCCATTTAGAGGAAGATTTGAACAAGAAATGTGAGTGACGTAAGCTCCGAGGAGCGGGGGTGAGAACCACTTTAAATTAAATCTTGGATGACATGGAGAGAAATTGTTGAGGAGGTGCTGAGGAGGAAGAGGAGGGTTGCTGCACGAGCTGAAATACGAGTGCAAAAGACGAGCAGCACTGTTTGAACGCTGCCAGGTGAAGGTTGATTGGCAGCTCAGATATGCAAATGTGCTGAAGCTGAAGCGATTGCTGATCGGACCACAGGCTCAGTGTGTAGGGGTGGGAGGATCACCGTTAAGCAGGTGGGATAGTATCCAGCCGAGATATTCTACTCTGAACATTCACTATCACTCCATAACAAATCCAACAACACACAGATCTTTTTGATTAACGTCAGGCTTTAACTTTCCCTTTATTTTCTCTCTTGGTGCCATCCACAAATTGGCGAATCGCTGTCTGGGCTGGCTGGTGTGACCTGCCAACATCAAGTGAACTGTCTCTTTCTAACTCTTGTATTATCCTGCAGATGTGGACGAGTGCTCGGAGGGGAACGGCGGCTGTCAGCAGATCTGTGTGAACATGATGGGCAGTTATGAGTGTCGCTGTCGAGAGGGATTCCTCCTGAGCGACAACCAGCACACCTGCATCCAGAGGCCCAAAGGTCAGTCCCTGCACAGCAAGTGTAAGTCCACAACCAACCCACTATTGCTCTCTAGTTCATCTTTACTCCCCTTCTTTTTCATGCACATCATTTGCAATCCATCAGAATGTACAGCACAATTTCCTTATCTCCCCGACCAGCAAAGACCAGGATGTGCTATTTACGATACGATTTCTCTCAATATTGCTTAATCTGCTTGTCTTTATTGACCGATGACTGCTTTCATGGTTTAGTTGTGTAATATCCTTTTGGTGAATCAATAAGCTCTGTCATACGACTATTCTTGTGATTTTAAGCTCTGCAAAAAGCTCTGCAGAATTGATGGATTTGTTTTGATAATCGCGGGCATATCACATAATACTCTTTAAATCCAATTTGTGGACAGAAAATCATATTTTTTTATGTTTTTGTGTGTTGTATTATTTCTATGTATCACAATAATAACCACATAGTCACTCCAATGCAAGTTTGTTCTTGGAAATGGGAAAGAGTAGGCAGCCGCAATATAGGTTGATGTGACATCACAACCTTCCAACGAGCCTATAGTTTAGGGTTTTATGGTTTAACTTAGTAAGTGTCAAAAGCCAAACTTCTAGTCCTAGTTTAGGAGTGATTTCGCTGTGATTCCTGGGCTACGACATGAAACCAAAACCCACATCTTCTTGGTCTAACTATAATCTGATTATGTTCTCATAAAGATGACTGAAAGTAGTTGCAATATTCAGACACATGCATGATTTTGGCCAGAAAGGCCTACAGTGGCTTTGTGATAAGTAAGTAAGTAAGTAAGTAAGCTTTATTTATATACCGCCTTTCACAGACCAGAGTCACAAAGCGGTTTACAATTGTTATTTTTTGGGCACTTGTCCTCTCACTCCACACAGAGATGGGAGCAGGGTCGCCAGTAAGGAGGCGCATGCCAGACCTATTGGACATATGTGTTGTGTTGTGTCTAATCAGTATCAAATATTGTTTTTGTTTTCAATGTTTCTTTACAAAAATGGCTTATTTCCCATTTATTTATTTTGGCATCTGCTCTCCTACTGAAAAAAAAAAGCCTAGATTATGAACACAACCTACTGTAAGAAGGAGGCGAGACACTTTGACAATGGGTTTAATACAAATAAATGATAAAACTTTATTGGCTTTGGGAGAGAGCGCACACAGAGTTTCCAAGTCTTTTCTGACAGAGGATCACTTTAGCTTGTTGTGACAAAGTGTGTGCTCTGTTGGTCTGTCTTGTTTCATCAGTCAGCTGTTTAAAGGCGCTATACCCGTTTCTGCAATGTTTGAATGTTTAGCACCGCCCCCCAACTCGCTCACAGGCTTCTCATTTCCCCTACGCTCATCCCACCGAGCCACCTAGTTTTATTTGCGATCTGATATGTATGCTGACATTAGCATTAGCGCAACTTCTTGTAAGCTGTACAACAATCACTGATAAAATGGTGCAAAAGCAACGCACTGCTAACACAATATATAAGTAAAAGAATACCGCTAGTTTTGCATCCGAATGTATTAATTTAAACATTAGAATATATTCTAATATTTAATTATAATTTATTATACAGCTCCTCACAGCAGCAGCACTCCATTGACTTGAATGCAATTCTTCCGATAATGTTTTCTTGATAACAGAACTCTCAAACCAATAATGACCGCAGCCCTTTGGCAATGCAATCTCTGTTTGTGATTCAGGTGTGTAAAATACTGCCATTACTCCGCAAGTACAAGCTATCAGCGCCTGTCACTACATTGTGCAGTTTCTCTGCACACTTGTCTGTGTAGAGAAGCTAGAGGAGCTAGCCACGCTCAATAAACAAATACATATCAATCAATCAACGGCATTAAACATTAATCGGACAATACAGTATACATGTACATCCTTAACACACATGCACGGACAATTTCAGAATTTGCTGTCAACGTTTTCATGTTCGTTCCCTCCCTCACCTATGGTCATGAGCTTTGGGTAATGACCGAAAGAACGAGATCGCGGATACAAGCGGTCGAAATGAGCTTCCTCCGCAGAGTGGCTGGGCGCTCCCTTAGAGATAGGGTGAGGAGCTCAGTCACACGGGAGGAGCTCGGAGTAGAGCCGCTGCTTCTCCATGTCGAGAGGAACCAGTTGAGGTGGCTCGGGCATCTGTTCCGGATGCCTCCTGGACGCCTCCCTGGGGAGGTGTTCCGGGCACGTCCCACCGGGAGGAGGCCCCGGGGAAGACCCAGGACACGCTGGAGGGACTATGTCTCTCAGCTGGCCTGGGAACGCCTTGGGGTCCCCCCGGACGAGCTGGAGGAGGTGTGTGTGGATAGGGAAGTCTGGGCGTCTCTGCTTAGACTGCTGCCCCCGCGACCCGGCAATAGATGAAGCGGAGGAAAACGGACGGACGTTTTCATGACAAAAATACTGTTTTAAAGTGACAAAAAGCGATCGCGAAAAACCCGGAAGTTACCATGAAACAGCTAGCTAGCTTAGCTGTTACCTGCCTAGCACGTCCCGGTGAAACCTTTGGGAGCTAACTGTTTTATTTGCAGTCATTAAATACATTTCGAATTATAAGGGCTGTCTAATATTTGTTCGAATATATATATATTTTTTATTTTAGAATTATATTCAAATTTTGAAGTCAAAGCCCTGCAGCGCTGTAGAGGCTAGAGGACGCAGGCTGTTTGCTGGTCGTTCTGTGAGTGGAGGAGAACGAGCGTCCCGCTCAGACTCTACTCAGCACTTTTCACGGCATAAATTTCATACACAGCTGAATCAATGACCTCAAGTTTTCAATTAAATTATGTATTATGATACAACTTGTATGTAGTAAAAAGCATTTTTATGAACTACTTAGAAAAAAAATCGGGTATAGCTTCTTTAAAGAGACAGAGCAGCATCATTAGAGGGATGCATGGGGGACAAATAACTTTTTTCTCCACACAAGGCGTTTTTCTGTGTTTGTGATTTTCTATGCAGAAAGAAACCTGTGATTTGTGCCTGAGCTCCAGCAGAGCAACATTTTCTTTTAAACAACTAACGAGAATGCATTTCAGAACCTGGTAGCTGCAGCAATCTAAGCATTTAGTTGTGAAGTTATTCCCTGCTCAAAATAAAATGACTTTGGTGATATTTTGGCATTTATCATCCTAACAATGTCTTCTCTCTATGTAATTAATCCACGCTTCTAAGGAGTAGGGTTTGAATTAAGAAAAACGATGTTGGGACCTAGCATACAGCGCTGAGCCGCAACCCAAATAAGACATTATTTTGTATAAACATAATCTAAAATACCATACATTTAAACCAATTAGTACACAAAGTGAGTTAGTCCAGCTAGTGCTAAATAATGCCAATAGACTCTGGAATCATGGAAAAAGGTGAAATCTGCCAAAGGGGTGAGTTCAGTTAAATGAAGTAAATAAGTTCAGCGTGAATGAGTGTTTGTGACCGTGACTGTGGGACAACGGATGTAAATTAGCCAAAAACTAGAATCTGGACAGGTTTTTTCATTTTTGCAGATTTGCAACATGTGCCCGCTGTGGTAAATAGAGCTGCCTGGGGAAAGACCCAGAGGAGATATATTCTACTATTTGGCATGTACTGTATCTAATTCACAGTATATCCATCTTTCATTGTATGCATTTTTTATCATTGTATGCATTTTTTATTTCAAATGAGTAGAGGTTTGGAGTGGAGACAGCTCCGCCTCCTGGTGAGCAGGTGGAAACTATGTGTTGCTAAAGCTCAACTAAGTCTAGCAGTTTTACCTCTGAGTAAAACAAGGTCAACATATGGATATGTAGTAGATAGATAAAAACAAATTAAGTTGTTGCAAATCTGCAATGGTTGCCTGGAGACGGTTAAAATCAAGTTTTGATCTAATGTTTTGAGGATTTGGATTTTTGTCCCCTTAATACTATAGAAAATGTAACTTCTTTTTATAGATAAATATTGTAAAGCATATTTCCCAGGAAACACTGATCCCTGACCCCCAGTTGAGAACCGCTGGTCTAGATGTCACTTGAGGTTCAATACACCTCACACCTGATCGCACACTCACTCCCAGGGCTCGACTAGACATGACTGTGTCTGGTACTGTTCCATGTTCAGCTCCCCCTGAAAAAATCCCTGATTTGACTTCCGACATATAGTCTTCTGCCTTTTTCATCAATATTCTATGGACTACCTGTAAAACTTTGAAGCGTCAGGGTTACCTTGGGATCAGAAGAAAAAGCACCGAAGCACGGACAGGGCATGCAAACCTACAACTGTACGACATGGATTTTTATTTCACAACCAACTTGCTTTGAGGCCGACCAGCTCATTCCAATATCTACTTTTGTATTGATACAATATACAGGATACTACAGTATATACTGGATCTGTATCAAACTACAGAGCAGCTTGGGGTGAATACAAGTTCATACTGTCAAGTCTAATTAATAATGTATCGCCCAACCAGGTCATGGGCTGAACTGAACTTACTGTATGTTGAATACTCTCAACAACATTCCCTGGATCAATGCTGCTATTTGTTACTGACTGCGTTCACAAGAGAAAATTGACTGCACTACAAAACTGGACTCAAAAGGTTGCGTTCATGTTCAAGTGAACGCAAGGGCAGGTGCCAATATATACAAGATCTGCTGAAAATAAAAATGTTTTTGATTTGATAGCAAGAAAACCTGACTGAATTATTTTCATGTCTGTAAGTCTGTTCTACTATAAACATCATGCATTTGTTTTTGAATAGATAGATTCTTGATTGATTCCCTGTAGGAGAAACTCAGGTGTAGTTACCACCTATGAGAAGTTCATTCGACTGATATCCAGAACCAGAATTATAGACCAATTGCGTCCAAATGCGATACATTTTAATATTGATTTGACGTGTGCTCTTAAATGCATCTGCTGGCCGCATCTCTAGTACTAAGAAAGGTCCTGGCCACCTGTCCTGAATGGACTGGACTTTTACATTTGTCATTGACAAATCCAGGCAGATATGTTA